TGCAGTTGTGAGCAGGACGGTAGAACGCAAAAATGGGCAAGACCTTAAGATCCTGTCAGGACTGGATTACACTCATTTGTTCTGGTGCACGTGACAAGTACCGTTGTAGCCTAATGCCAAAATATATTGTCTGTTAGTGGGATGTTTGTGCCTTCCACATAAATAGCATCATAAATGCCAAGTTAGATGACGATTGTCTTCGTATCTGTTGACTTCCTCCCTATGTGAACTGCTGTCATGCACAGCGCTGGTATGGTAGTCTTCAAACGAATAATCAATAAATCGATGTCTGGGTGCGTTAATAGGCAATGTGCCTGCCTACATTGATATACGGGAAACAGAATTGTCGGTATGTCCGGTTTTAACTTCGAGACTAAATGGTTCAGGCGGGTAGGCTTGGCATGCACTCTCTAGGGTGGTGGGTTTTCGCGCACCATCAGCCACTGCATTGCGATGCTGCCGACTGAGGAATGCGTCGGCTGTAATCGACTTTTTGGTGACAGCGAATCCCTTTGGTTTGTTAGTTACGGTTACGCATATGCACGCTTTCCTATCTTCGCAGAATTTGGCATGGTGAAGCAGTACCAAACAGTAATAAACCGAAAGGATGACCTAGGTTAGCGACCAAGAAGGGCGAAACCGGTCGTGGGCTGTCGATGGATTTTCAGCAACCTTATGAGTAGTACATTACAAATATACGTGTATCGCGATATTTCAAATATCGTAGCGACTGAAACATGAGGCGGCCTGGTGCGGCACATTCAGTTGCCTGAGAACATCATAAACGAGAGATTCAGCTGGGTTCCAGGTGAGTCTCTCGAAAGAACCAAATTAATTAGCAGATGAGTGTATATTCGCTAATTTCGTGCAATTTGGTTTCAAGTAGAACACAAGGTTGACGGAAACCCAGGGACTGCGCCTACCTGATGAGCCCCAAGAAGGGCGAAACCGGTCGTGGGCTGTCGACGGATTTTCAGCAACCTTACGAGTAGTACATTACGAATGACCTAGGTTACTTTGTCAAGGTGTAGGTCAAATTATGTCGACAAAAATTTTTCAAAATCATTTTCCGTTCTTTTAGTAATTCGATCGAGATCAAAACCAAAAGGGATGAAAAAAGAAAGCCCAACGGATTACTAGCAACTTTGTGCGAGGTAAGACTGCTAACGCGAATACACGCAAACCGCATATTCACAGAACACCCACAGACGTTAACACAACGCTTTTTTCAAGCAGAAGGCGTGTGGAATGCATAAAAATGTCCTAAGGAAAAGTTTCATCATAGTAACAGAGAGTGAGTGTCCATAAGAGGGAGTACTGAACGACGACCAACCAGATTCACAACCAGATTCAGCTTCGTTCGCAACATGGTGTTTGATACCACCCCTGAAAGAGGCGAAAGGGACCAGATACCGAATCCAATGATCCTTCGAGAAAGATCACTAAAGAGATTTGAATAACAATGGGTTAGTGGCGCAACCATCAACCAATCGCTTCGTACCACCACGCCCCCCTAACAACGCACTGATGATTTCACCTCCACTGGTGATGAAACGTTTGCAATCAAATTGCCCAGCTCAGCGAACAAACCAACGACCATCTACGCTACCTGAGCTACCAACATTTTCCTCTATACAGTGGACTAAGTTCTACACTCTCCTTCTGGTGGTTTCCTTGCGAAGATTGCAGTAATCAGTCTGTGTGTAGGAAAAAAAGTCCGCAAAAGGAGGCATGGACGGAAGTCACCACTATTTAGCTTGCATCAGACATGTTAACTAAAGTGTGAAAGATGATGAGAACCAATATCAGACGTCACGGTCCCCATCCAGCAAACCGTGCACACAGGCCACTCAACAGCCATCAAACGCGAGGTCTAGTATCAGCTGGCGGTGCTGATTTGAAAATATACCCGGCACATAAAGGCCTCCTTACGGTTATCACACCGGATAGCATATACTTTTGAATAGCGCTCCTCTGGGCACACTCAAATAGCTCGCGTGCTGTAGTCAGCCACTTCGACCCGGACTGATCAATGATGCTTCCAGATATCTCCTTAGAGTCCACTTTTCAGCATTTGGTTTCGCAAAGCAATCGATTAGAATGTCCCAACAACATCTTGTTTTCATGCTGTCCTCAGATGGGTAATTTTTAGATGTCGAGGCTTTGCCCAGACAGTAAAAGCCAACTTGACCAATCCTCAATCTGTGCGTAATAACGACACAAAGGTCTAGCTCACACTTTGAGGGCACGGCATCTAAAAATCGCATGTGCATTTTAGCTGCTATTTTGTGCGCGCGGTGACTTGAGTAAGGACAGTTGACTGAAGTTCATAATGAACCAGCCTTGGTGTGCCCTAACGACCATAGTTTTAAAAGTGCACATTGTCTGGTCTGTATGTTTCAAGCAAGGTCTTCAAATCCAGTAAAATAAATAACCATATATTACTTCAACTATCTTCCGAATATGCGAACACCATGTTCACTCCGGTAGTTGTGTTTCCTACTTAGACTCTGAGCCTTGGCTCATACCAAGTCAGCCGAAGGATATGCTCCGTTGGGTCGTTTTGACCTGTTTCAAACTTGCGGTCTACCACCTTGCTGTGTCATCGTGTGTTTGATTGTTTGATTACGCAGCTAGGCGCCAAAGCACTACGATATGGGTCAAAATGAATCCACACACTCTGTTGATGTGAGGTTTGTGTTGATTGTAGCACACAAGCCCCAAATGGAACAGCCAGCTAGTGAGAATTATTGACTAACTTAGCCCATTCTTTCTTTGTTTTACGGTACCAAAACACACCCAAATCAAAGTTGTCTTGCATCATTGTGTTGCTCTTTTCATCGGAATGCCAATTTCGATCTTGAGCGCGTAAACAAAATCTCCGCTCGGGTCTTTCACCGAGTGCGCCGACAGGTTGCTCGCTTGATGTCACTGGGTGGGCTCGTAAAAGGATGAGACACCCGAAACCCTTGCCTTTTACATGGTCATAGACCCTTGTCTTACACTGTTTTACGCAGTGTGCGAGAAAGTGCACATGGCATAAAAGTGCGTGGGCAGTTAGGCAAGGGAGCCTAGTGTGCGGTAGGACTGACGGCTCTTTGGTGTGGGCAGACGAGAGTTACCTAACCGTGCTCAGAGCGGTTGAGAATTGGGGGAGATATATATGTGAGGATGCTGTGAGCAGCGGGGCGCAAGAACAAATGAGTTCCAACAGAATATGCAAACTGGTTTAAGGGACACGTGTTAAGACAACTCGGTCAAATTTAGATTCGTGGTGGCGCTTGTGGACGATGACGTTGGGGCCGCTGAAAAATTTGGGTTACACACAATGAAATAATTGTTTTGCCATATGCAGACAGCACTTAGTGATGCGTCGTTGGGCTTCGAATGTGATTTCGCGGGTTTGGGACTCTCCGAACTTCAGAAAGTGCGCATTACTGATGATTCTCAATAAGGAGAAAACAGTTGTACATCGCTGGTTTTTTTGTATAACTTGACTTTACCGAAAATGTTTCAATTAAAAACTTCCGTCTAGCATTTTAAGGCATATTTCAATGATAAACATACTCTGAGATGAAACCGTCGAGTAGAAATTAGGTTCAGTCGGTCGATCTTTCGAATTGTCTATCGAAAGTATTCAACGGACAGCTCATTTCCTCTTGAACAGATTATCCTTCAAACACAGTTTACTTTTAAACAGATCTTTCAATCATTGTCTAGAAAACAAGGTGTGGAAGGGCTTCATGCAGTACAGGAGTCACCTGGAAACACTAAATAACAATGAGTTTGTTTTGCTTCTTTTAGGGAAGACGAATATTGAAGTTCCAAGAAGAGGCCATCTACAAATGGCCTCATTTGACTGATTGTCTATACTGGACGAAGTGAAGTATTCGTGTGCTATACAGATGAAAATCTTGGTATCAGAATAGCATTCGCGTCTTCATGTCATGTGAGTACAGCATACGTTAAGATGCCTTGAAATAATTTTGCATCATGTTCTCCGTTAAATGGACATTTAGCATCAGCAGAAGTTTGGACGTGACTTATGAGAAAGCATCAGTTTTTGGTCAAATTTCATCCGATCATATTAAAGTGATTCCGGTTATAAGAGTGTTCTTTCTAGGGTACATAGGGAGGAGACTAACTATGCTGACTTCCGAGGCTCGCAGTCTTTCCTCATGAAATCACCACGGACATTCGGTAATGGATTAAATTGAAGGAAGCCACGATTTTTAGATTCGACCTTCATTTGTAACACTCTATATCTGTTATTGAACAGTCCAGATGTGCTGTTTTTAGTTGGATAATCAAATGGAAGTGTTCTGAAACATGGACAGTGACCAACACACTAATTTCTTCTGTCTGGGGGCTCGAGATACGTCCTTAGTTTAGGCGTCAACAAACGGACTGAGTTCTCTGGTTCGAACCCAACCACAGCATCTCGACTGCTCCTGTCTAAGCTTGGGCAACTTGGCACTATTCCAGCCCTCCTGCTTCCTTCTCTTGGCACGGCAGCAAAGCACTGATAAGGTGCTACAACTGAACGACTTCTATCGGGCACGTAAAGCGTCAAGTTTTTTGGTATGATGGAGCGATACATGAGCACCAAGTGAAACGATTTTCCTTGAAAAAACTCTCTAGAGGATTTTACCCTAGTTGTTTGCCCGTCATCACTTGGGCACGGAAAGCACTTTTTCTGCTTCTTAAATTCTAATTCAAAACTGACTGGTTCACCATTGTCTAGCGTTCATAGTGAAAATTTAGCAACCATGAACAAAAGGCATGATTGCACCGTGTTGCTACGCTTGGGACGTGTATCCCATTGTTTCATTGTTCGTTGGTTGGGCTGGCCACTCCTCCCGAGACACTTTTGGCCACGCTAAAAGTTGCTTTCTCCCCCAGCCTATCCCAATTGGGTGTCTAGCCACGCGTGTTCTGCGGTGCGGATCGATTTTCACACTGTCTAATTATTCCAGGTGCAGATGACTCCATGTGATTGGTCGCGCCGCGCAAAACTGCGGCTGATTGATTAGACTGCCGCTTTAAAGTACACCCAAAGCTGCTGGTTTGCCCACTTCATTTCGGTCGGTTACTAAACTTTTCACTGACGAAGAATTCGCAAAAATGGCGAATCGCATGATGGATATGGGTATGGATGTTCAGGTCAATCGCCGGGTGAGTGACTTTCATAAATTTATTTTTTTGTCATTGCCCTGTCCCACACATTCATCAGTGGCAAAGGCATGGACGACAGGCCCACATTTGGTTACAAGGTTGTGATTTTTCGAACATGATAGATAGCTGGGCGTAAGGGAATGTCTACTCATTATCTCCAACTCGTTGCGCACAGAAATCTTGCACTCTTGGGAACGTTCATCTCCATCGAGATATCAGTACGGTTGACACGACCTTGTTCTCTTCTAAATCATCGTTCCTTCAAGTGTCGTAAGGAGTTGCTGGTTATTGGAGCCTTTCAAACTTTTAAATCGATTTCTTGAAGTCTCAAGCGAAGTAGGGCACTGAGTTCTACAAGGGTGACTAGCGGTTGAAACTTCTTCAGGTCAGCTAAAGTGGTGGCAACAATGATCTATTTCGAAGGTAGTTGGTCTGTGTATTGGCGTATTTGACGGAAAATTGGACAGGTGGATGCGGCTAGCGGTATTCCTTCGTTTCTGGGACTGGGGTTATTCCTCCTTGCTATCCCCTGACGGTCGTCCATTGGCTGGCTGAAAGCTTCGCTCCATCTCTTCGAGCACACTCACCAAAAAATTTTCGAAAAGTTCCGGGACCAACAGGAGTGTCAGACCCCTAAGAAACCCGGTCTCCATAAATGAAAGTTGTTAGCGAACTCTCCATCGCAACATCGAGATGACCACTTGAACCAAACGTTTGCGATCGAATTATAACTCTCAGTCAAACTGAAAAGCACTTTCTTTTAGTGCATAACAAAAAAATTAGGGTCTTAAATTGACTACCTGCGATCAGTTTGGGATCGCAACACATCTTCTCATTGAATTGACGATATATCATGTAAGTTTAGTTGTTGATCTTTTCACCGTACTTAGGAGCTCGATTGCAAACGTTTCATCGCCAATCAAGGTGACATTGTCAGTGCGGGGTTGAGTGTAAGTTCCTATTATTCTGCAAGAAATTTTAGCGAAACCTCAAAACCGGTTTTCGTGTTGTTGACATGGATATACTTGTGCCCAAAATTTTGAGGCGAAATTTCGCTAGTTTTTAGACATAGCATACTACTTATGAAGTTGTTGAATCCTCTTTGATAGCCCATGACTGGTTTCGACTTTATTGGACCTCATCAGGTCGGCTTAGTCCCCGACGTATCGGAGACCGTATGTTCTAAGTGAACCCAAATTTACTATTTTTATTTTTACAAATTAGTCGGAAAATATTAAAAATGCGCGTTTTTATAGGAGAAGGGGAAGTGCTAGGGTTCTAACAACACGTAGGTGTTGTAATGTGATTTTAACGGCCAGTCTGTGGCTAAGTTTCCACAGCACCACCAAGCTCTGAACCAGGCCAGTCCATGACTGTGATCGTGGGACGAAAGTATTACAAGCTGCTTTTGGGTATTTATCTATTGCGATCACATCAGTCGATATGGATGGCATTTGCCGATCAGAAACACTTTGGATCTAAGGGAAACCCAGTTCCGCACTTTTTATGATGACTGTAATAGATGTGCAACTACACGTTACACTAAGCTGCTTCAAAGGCTAACAACTGGTTGACCAAGCTTCCGAGGAAAACAAAATGGAAGTCAAAAGACCTCTCTGACCAGTACTTTTGAAGCTCATTTTATGGCATAGTAAATCCGTGTTTTCGATGTTCCTTTCTGTCGTCGGCTGCTTTGGTAAGCTCAGCTTTTCTAAAATTAACTATGGATGTGTTCGAAGCCTAACTGCCCTCGCCGCGGATGGCCATGTTTTTTGTTCTGGTCAAATTCGAAGTCGACAAAACTGCCCGAGTCGCATTTATTGCCATAGGTTCTGTTGGCACGTTGGTTGTGCGATAGTATGATAGAAGAGGGCAGTTGCTAGAGCCTGTTTAACCCATACCACTACTGATGCCCCAGTAATACGGGCCCGCGCCGCTGGAGTGAGGTCGAACGCAGCCGATCGATTGATGTCCCACCAGCAGCCATCTTAGATCATGATCTAGATTTTATGGTCCAGCAGACCTCACCTGCAAATACTTCGGGTCCCTGACTTCCTTCTGTTTTCCTCTGTTCAGTATTTGTCATTAGAGGGATTGTCTGTGAAGCCGAATAGAATTCGAGTATTCAGCCAACAGTCTTGTTTAATCTCCTGGAGTGACTAGCAATTGTTTAATTCCCTGCTCAGTGGTTCACAGAGTAGATTTTTCTATGTGAAAATTCGACCCCACGTATATGGCTTGAAATGTGAAAGGATCAAGCAGCAATCTGCTGCTAGAAAGGGTCTCACAGTCATCCAACAGTAATAACTGGAGTTCTGTTAGAAATTTCCGTTCAAGCGTTTCACCGGATTTTGTCGCAGTGCAGAAAATTTTTACTGACTTTTCGGCCAGCACAAGCTTACCAAATTTGGACGAGTGATCTATCTATTCCTTAAATTCATGCGTAAAAAAATGCTCGTCACACTTGCATTTTGTATAACTAACTGCGACTGGATGAACTGTGAATAAATGATTTGTACATACTTTGGTTTTAGGAATAATACTAGCAGTAGAAACCAGACAAATCAACCCTATGTAAATGTGTACAAAGGAATTCAAGTTCACTTGAAATTTCCCTCCTTTCTTTGCAAAGTATGTGATATTTGCAGAGGGGCTTTCCAGTAATTTTATAATGCTATGTAACTGCATTTTGGCGATACCACCATTCTATCCTCCCAACTCAGTGATGGTCATTTTTGGGATCGGGGGCAAACACTTCATCTTCGTAGCTGGTGCATCAGACGGATTTGAACAAAGCCTTAAAGCCTTACGGGTTAATCAGAGTATAGGCTTGCAATGATGCTTCTAATGAACAGGCACCTGATAAACTGGTGCCAAAGAACTATAAGGCCATTTACTCAGTCCATTTTAAAATAGCAAGTGGGTTCTTCATCAAAAGTTAATAAATCCAAGTACTGATGTTTCATCAGGTGAACATTGTCGTTTTCGGAACCTTGGGCCTAGAGAACTGCAAAACTAGTGCGAAGTATTGAAAGGGTTACTGCAATTCATCGACTTTTTTGTCTTTGATTAGGTAAAACATCGAAGTGCAAGCTTTCCTATGGTTATTTGAGGTTGTCCAACACCCAAGTTACTTGAAGATTCGAACCTGTCGTGCCATCGAGAGTGTACTGCTGGCCACGCTGAGTAACACAGTGGGGATCGCCACAAAGTTAAGGAATCATACAGACCCTTAATGAAGTAGGGCATTGTGACAAAATGACTACCCAACCGGATGGAAAATATAATTAAATGAATCCACGATAAAAGGAACAGCAAGAAAAATTGAAATAATAGTAAAACGGTGGAAAGATACCCCGTTGACGTGGAATTCAAACGACTAGGCGAAGTGCCTAGTGTCTAGTGTCTACTGAGAGTGTAGAAAAGAGTTCCCATCTTTAATCGTTTGTATGACAGATGGCGCCGTCAGTAAAAGAAAAACTGGATGGTCTTGGTACAAATTGGCTCACACAGCGCAAAAAAACTATCTGTACTACATCAGTTACGTCCACTGTCCTAGCGGTTTTGAAAACTAATAATGCGTAAAATGTCGTTTCGTACTGAATCTGCTTGACACCAATAGAATGTGGCGAGTAAGCGTGGCTGTGATGAGTACAAGTTTTTCACAAGGTCCATCTGTCCCCGAAGAACTAGTTCGCCACACGAATCTTCTGAAGTCACATTAACTTTTTTTCGAGAGAGGAGCTCATCTATCATGACCAAAAAGGCATAGACTTGGCTCTTGAGAGACCCAGTTATGTTTAGCTTGTGGTTGAGGACTTGTATTTTATTTCCAACTAGACAAAACATCCTTTCTCTGGCAGAATTTTTTCGAACTTCCACTCTGGTGTGCAAATGATGCGTAGTTTTACTGAACGGTACGCAGGGCAGACAGACAACTAGTGTCTCAATGGAGAGCTTATGGGAACCGGTGTACACAAGCCTACTTATGGACCATTTGGAGCATACACTTGGATATAAGATTTAAAAATTGGTGAACGATGCATTTACTATTTTTACTGGTCACAACAAGACGAGGGGATTTTATCGTCTGGTCAACAAAGTTTACAACCACCTGAATATACAGTAGAAGCCGAACAAAACGATTGAATAACTTTTCGTCGTATGCTCTGTCCTGACATCCTAAAGGAAGCATTTTCTGTACGTCAAATTCGTCCCATTCATTTTAGTATGTAACCATATCAAGATTTTAAATTCACACACTTTATTCCCCAACTTCTTCACTACAAATGCATACCTGCCATGCTACCTGTCAGCAATCCCATGACTCGTCTGTGTCATTCGTCAACGTGGCATCGGATGTTTCAACTACGCGCGGGCCAATCACATCAGTCGTAACACGTAACCTGGACTTGAGAACCTTTGCGGGCACGCCTGCTTTAAGTTGATGTGTTAGCTTAACAGTGGAGGGGGGGGGGGTAGAATTCCAGAGGCTCGTGAAATGTCTGTGCGAAGGATACCTTAAGCAGGAACGGGCTTCCCAACATGCATGTTAATTCAACCAGTGATCAAACTACGATCTGATTTTTCTCCCTTGGGAATGAATCAGATTCAGAACATCAATGCAGGATAGGGTGACCTTTTGAAGGGTTTCTCTTGATCATCAGTCCTTGTCATTTAGCCCAAAAAGACAATTTCGAATAAGAATTGCAGTACTGAAGATACACTTCACAGACCAGATGCATTCTTACACAAAGACGGAATAAATTGGATTCCAAGGTTGAGCAAACGAACACAAAGTTCAGACATATATACAGATTTTTCTCCTTAAGACTGTGGACTCGATAGATTGTTAGTTAGGCAGATTTTCATCTTCATTCCCTTTGATCGATATTCCGACAGGAAGCTTTAACAAACACACAACGTCGAAACTCCGCTGTACTAGAGCTAGAATGTCCTAGTGGTTTCACGTGAGGAAAACCGCCATTACAATGTAGTCTTTTTAGGATAAGGAGGTCATTTTTGGAATACATTGTTCTTCATCTTGGTTCTACGGGATGATTTTATCCTGGAGGACATTTTTTCGAACAAAGCACTTCATTGCATTTCAAGTTTACTGAACTTTTCTGCAAAGTAAGTCGTTGTTTGTAGGGGGGTTAAGTGGATCCTAAGAGAATCTCTTACCGCTGATCATTCTCTTATGAATATGTTGCACGAGGGTCTTCATATGTTTTAGTTGGTAATCGAGGTATCGAAGTATATTTACTTGACACAACAGCACTTGTAATGTTGCTGAAAACCCTTCGACAACCCACTACCGGTTTCGCTTGGTGGAAATCCTGGAACTATGCGTGCTTGATCTGCCCCAAGAAGGAAAGATAGCTATTGGAATGTCAAACAGTTTTCAGCAATCTTACAAGCGGTTTTGTGTCAGGTGAATAGTAAACTCCGCTTTCGAGGTTTTACATTTGTGTCAGGTCCTACAAATTTGTACACCAATCAGAAATTCGCGATTTCTGGATGACTTCACCTTGGATTGGAGTAAAATCCTGGAACCATATTACATTTCACGAGAAAATTAAATGTCACATAAAAACAAACGTTCCCTATTTCATGTTTTGATTTCTTCCTTTTTGTTTAGCTGAACAGTAAGTACGATGCCGCTAGCGAGCAAGAAGCGATCGGATGGGTCAATAAACTGACCGGAGACAATGTGCCGCTTGGCAGAGAAAATGTATGTGCTAGTCTCAAGAATGGTCAGACACTGATCAAGTAAGTGTGCCATGAAACCTGTCTAGACTCTAAACATGTTTAAGGGGATTCGACCTTGGAAAACGCGGTTTGTATTAGGCAATGACTAAAAGAAATCTCATCAAAGACGTTGAGAATATAGTCTGAGCTGCGATAACTTAGTTCACAGAATTAGTGGATTTCTGATAAGTTCCTGTACTGCTATGAGTTACTTCGTCTTGCGAAGCCACAGAGGACGTTCTTTTGACTGATACTTTTGAAATTTTTGGTGTTGCACAGATTTCCTTAAAACGCTGAGTCTTGTTCACGCCGTTAGTCAAGTAATTCAAATGGACCTGCAATAAATGAAACACAGACACTTATTTCAGGCGGTCGTTTAATGTAATTGAGTATATTATTTTTCTTATTCAAAAAATTGCTTATATTACCTCAGTCCAAGGGACAAAAACCTTGATTCTTCAAGAGGATGTTGGCTTTTGACGAGCGATGAAGACTATCCCTTTTCTAGATTTTCTACCTTTGCACTCACTTCATAAATTAAAACTTGGATGTCACTATGCTGTGTGCATTTAAGGTGTAAAACCCTATTACGGTCGACCGATTAGTCTAATCAATAGCTAACCTCCAGCTGGGTTCTCTATGTCTGATGGCCACGTTTTCAACCTCTGGGGATTTCGATGATCTCGATTGTTGGAGTTATAATCTCGATGTGAGAGCAGTTTGGTAGGTCATTGAGTCAGCAGAAAGATAGTACAATGATCAGGCCGATCAGGCCGAAAAACTGTGTTTCAACAGGTATGTTGAGAGAAGCCACAAAGTTTGCTCCATCTGGAAATTTCGGTGGACCACTTTCTGTCTAGTCTCTCTATGGACGGATTTTTTCGCAAATTCGTAATCGCAATGTGAGGTGGAAGCTGTCATGGGTCGTGCGCAACCAAATGATAATAGTCCGGAATATGAATTAGGAAATTTCGGTGGACCACTTTCTGTCTAGTCTCTCTATGGACGGATTTTTTCGCAAATTCGTAATCGCAATGTGAGGTGGAAGCTGTCATGGGTCGTGCGCAACCAAATGATAATAGTCCGGAATATGAATTAGAACTCTCATTTTGCAGATGGGGGGGGGCAGATGAGTCAGGCAGTACAGTGAAATACTTTGCATCCTTGAAATACGAAGATGTAGAAACTGCTCCCATTATTTTAGACTTTCACAATATCCGACACACGAATCAACCACAAACCTACGTGGATCGTGATGATGTCTGAAGCGGAAATAGGCTCTTCGACAACGTGAATAGACTGAAGAAAGGAGTCGTGAATGCCAGCTTGGTCTGGACGTCATTTGTATTATTTCTGATCTCTGTACACAGTTTGGACAGATCCCTTCTCCAATACAAAATTATGTGTAAACCAAGTCACAAGTAGCTAAAAAAAATTCATCAGGTGGGCAGTTTGTTTGATAGATGGTGAAGGTCCGTCTAACCTAAGTTGGAAAAAGATGCTGAAAATCAAGTTGAATGGGTGATATGACGCATTTCTCATAGACTGGATGATTCCCATTGCACACTGCACCTCAAGGAATCAGAATCGAGTGCAAACACAAAACATGTAAACTTTTCCCATTGCATTCCATTTTCCAGTGTAAATGTTTCATCATTTTCTCGTAAAAATAGATTGATCAATATCGTGTACGAAGGTACAACACAGCTTCCACCAGAGGCCGCTCGCCAGAAACGTCCATTCAAAGCAAATACAATGTCGGCTCCCTTCAAACAGGTACGGTTCCTTAACTCTTTTCTGTCATAACGTTCACCTAATCGCAAAGTTATTTTGTCTCTACTAATACACTTTTTTGTATGTCAAGTTGGTGTTCAAAGAAGATATCCGAGTTCCAGGTGAATCTGTTGCTTACGATGTATTTGTCAAATTTCGGGTAGTTTAAGCTAAAGTGACACATACGTTTGACAGAAACTCAAAAACTGAGTCCAACTGATCAGTCCCGAGGAAGGTCAAAGCCGGTAGGGAATTGCGGAAGCTTTTTCACTCACCTTATGGGTAGTGTGTTAGTCTATACAATGCACTGCGATACTGAAATGTCGTACCAAATGAAACTTGAGGTGGCCTGGTGCAGCACTTTCAGCTGCGTTCCAGATGAGTCCCCCATCAAAACTTATCTGGAATGCAAATGGGTGTATTCGTATTCTCTTTGTTCACCACCCTTGATTTGTGTATAGACATTTTTTTATTCAGTTTGCATGTCCCTTCATTTCTATTCAGAAGTGGTATTTCACCTGAGCGAATTGAATTCACCTGACTGTTTGCCGTAATTCTGACTCTTTCCTGTATGGCGTTCATCTCTCGGAGCGCGGATGTCAAATCATATGCGGTGTCTTGCTTGTAGCCGTCCGCATCACGTGTTCAGTCACTGGATGCACAAAGTCAACATACCAGATGGTACGCTGGAATACGGAAGTTTAATGAGACCACGTGGAAATTGACATTTATAGATGGACCTGACAGCAAAGACCGTACCTATGTAGGAATAAACACGTGATCACCTTCTTTGAGTGATTCACGGCAAACTCGATAGGTTTTGTGCCGGCGGGCCAAAGAATACAGCTAACTGGTCAATCTGTTCTTTGATAACTTGGATACAATAGCACAGTTTCATGACCGGGTGAATAAACCTTAGTATGGAAAATAGTGAACAAGTGAAACTTAGGATGATCGACTCGCGTTTCCGGACATTTCATCGGAATGTTCTCCCGTAATGTGATCCCGTCTCGCAACCATCTGTCGTTCTTATGGCACTGCTTTCGGCCACAGTGAAGAATTAAGTAATGGGGTGTGAAGTTTCTTCTGCAGGAGTGTGCATTTATTCGACGATGGTGAAGACAAAGTGAGGACAAGTGCTGTCCGCCAGACTTTGCAGAAGATTGACATTCGTGAGATTGAGAAAACGCAGACCTGTGGAAAGCCGACCAAGCAATAGTTCTGTGACCTTACTGGGAATAAAACCGGGTATTTTCCCCGGAATAGTTCAGCGGCTAAGGCGCGGACTTACTGACCGGAAGGTAACATTTCGAATAAACACAGCCTGCAGTCCACTCGAGGGCTGAAATGATGTCAAGTTTTTCACTCCTTGACAGAAGCGGTCGAAATGCTGTGTTAGAGTTACAGACCTTTCGATCAGTAAGTTAGAGCCTAAACAACTAAGCCACATCGTGTGGTTCAAGCATAACCCCGGCATCTCTGCTGCTCCTGTCTAGGCTTGGACATCACTGCGACATCTCAGCCCTCGTGCTTTCGTCGGTTGGCATGGCAGCCAGGCACCGAAATGATGTTACAGCTGGACGATGAGGAACGATGTTGAAGTTAACAATGTAGCTTCATCATCATCAGATGCTTTGTCGAATGAATCCGACGACCATTGCGTTTCTTCCTTGCTAAATAAGCGGAGACGTTTGCGGGACAAGCAAATCAAACAGGCAGGAAGCTTTCGGATCACCCTTTGTTGCGTTGTTGGTTGTGATTCATGCAATAAGCTGTTCATCGTCCTTCTTCGCTGATGAATTATCTGATTCCTGACGGATCTATAGGCAGCAGCTTGCAGATGGGTACACGGGCCTGTTGGAGGTTACGCTGAAACGCACTGAAAGCTCCCTGATTCCCCTTCAAATAGACGCAAATATTTCATCAATGTGTTCTTCTCATGTATCATAAGCCTGAAGAAAGAGACACTTCTCAAATGAACTTCATGTGATGCCGATGTAGAGGGTGTCCAAAGGCCGCTTTACCAAAAGGGCAGGTCTAACAGACTCCATTTCGGGTTTTCAAACAAGAAACATGTAAATGAAATCTGATGTTTCTTCAAAGGGATCACAATTTGAAGCCGTTTTTAGGAACCTAAAATATGTGGTTTGGGTGATACCCGATCCTAGTAGCCGAACTATTAGCACCTTGATCCAAAGCATGTTCTCCTATTGATTCGAAGGCACCACTAGTATTACAAGAGTCTAAATCAACAATTTTAGGGTAGGCATAACCTGGTGCTGCCCCAGATGAGCAACTGAACATGAAATGGAATGTGTACCAAAAGCACTTCAGTCTGAGTGGCTAGGCTTTTCTCATCTTGGGAGCCTCTTGGGAGGAAGCCTGTCTCACGCGATTCACAAATATTTTAGGACCAAGCTCATCTTAGTATCACACTCTTTTTGTGACTGTTTTAGAGGATTTATCAACCGATTCTTTAGTAAATGGAATTCAATATTTTGGATTCCAGCGGAATAAACAAAGCTCAGGTTGATCCAGTGTCTATCACACCAGAAAGCAAATAAGCCTGTAAGTTATCAGGCTGGTTCTCATTCCCACTTTCGTATTGTTTCTCAATACATGATCCGTTGTGGGTTCTGATTTTTGTTTCTGCTGAATGTAACGATCAGTTTCCGAAAGGCCACTTATTGAACTGGATGACATGTGCATGGGTTCAGACAGAGCCCAGAGAGATACATGTTTTGCAGCATTCTCTCATCACTCGGAAACATAGTTCACAGAATTATTCCATGTTCAAACATCAAGTATAATCATGAAATCTCTTCTTTTAAACAAGTTGTAAACAGTTTGGGGAGTGGGCGAACAACTGTTGCATTTCATCTCACGCTTGCGAGTCGGAATAGGTTGTTTGTGAGACGCTTTTTGGTTCTGCCACATCTTTTCTGTCTCCTACTTGAAGGTTTCCTCTTAACCCTTTTCTATCCAATCTCCCCTGTACTCTTTTGAGATTGGATTTCTAGAGTGACGTGTCTCGTGGAAAAATTGCCACTCTGAACATGCAGTCTGTCACAGACTGAGTAATCAGAATCCACCTAGATTTTGGATCTGCTTGCTTGGTGAGGATAAAAAGAGCGGTGAGTCGCACGAACGTCCATCTAGCCAGACGGACTAGTAGCAAAAACTCCTCACTATAGTGGGATTGCTTTTGGTTGTTGGTCTGTTCACCGAGCTTGGCAGTTGGATTGCAAACGTTTCATTACCAATCGAGGTGACATCGTCAGTGCAGGACTGAGTGACCCACTCAAACAGCGTACCCGAGCTACCTACATTCCACAACATTGCTAATAGTGGGATTGCGCCTGCAAAAATATCACTAAAGAACAATGGTTATCCAACGCATCTGATCGAACGAGTCAGTAAGATCGAGGAATGTCTGCATTGACACTAAGCGGGACCTCTAACTACAGCGCCCTTTCAGATGCATTGGTTGCGTACTCTTCATCTGTAACATCCGCTCAGTATTTTAAAGAGACAACATGCTACAGACTGTCAGTTAGGTTGACTGTGTCGACTGAGCGTGTCCATAATGTTCAAATCAAATGATGTAAACCGAACTCCTGAGCTTTCCAATAAATGCTACTGAATTAAAAAAAATTGGAACGTCACCCAATTCTGAAAACTTGCTTGACTTGTGGTAGCAGCTTGACGTGCATAAACAGGGATGTTGTGCATGACGCCACGAACAATCACCGCCCAGTAATCCCTCATCTGGTCTGGGTGTCAGAACTCGACATGCATCCTCTGACCCGATCTCTCCATCCCGAAGCCAGGAGTTGTCAGCCCCTCTTGCACGGGTATACACAGCAACCGTGGCATTCATGGCGTTTCCACCGGTCATATGACAACAAACCGACTGGTTTTCAAACCCACTTGCGTAGTACTTCAACGTCGGTCGTCGGTACCTTGGCAGTGCAGATGGAAACGTGAGACATTCTCATTCAGTCGATTCAGAAGGAAATCATCGACATTTCCAATCCACGCCACGGTTGGCAGCACGCAAAATCCAGGAGACAGGAAGCTTTACCCTGAACGATTGTACGAAGTACCGGCACATCTCAATTTCACAGTCCAGCTAAACGCACGGGTTTTACTAGAACGCTAATCCGTGTTTATGAACAAAGACTATTCAATAGCTACAAACCTGTTTCCTTTACTAGATGTTCTGTCTAGACCGGAGCCAAAATCTAACAAGGCCGGAGAAAATCCATTTTACCATCTCCATACTGTTTTGCGCAAATTTCCAGAGCATATTAAATGTGTTTGTTTTTAGTTGTCATAAAAAGCCTGAATGATTCAGGATTTCGTAGGATTTTCCCCAATTTAGTGGCAGTAACAAGGTTTAGAATATTTGGATGTTTGTCGCCTCACTGGAAACTTATGGGTGTGTTACACTCACTCTTGGATGTCCATGATCGGTTTGATATGCGCCATGTTTTCACCTTTCATATCTTCAACAGGATGGAGAAGATTTTCAGTTTGCTGCTGAATTTCTTGTGACAGTCAGTTTGTTTTAACGGAATATTGTTTCCTGGTGTCTTCTTTGAGTTCAGCGATGCTTTTATCCTTTGATTGATCCTCTTGGAAGCATAACATGAATCTTCCTGGAGAGAGGAAATCTCCCCCGCCTAGTGACGTTTCGGAGCACAACTCGTAAACCACGCGTTTGCTTACTGTAATAACAATAATAATAATGGTAACAGCAATGACCTTCCATATGTAACACCCCCTTGGTGCCTTTCTGTCATGCCAGCTGAATGAAGCACGGAGCATGAGATACTGCCAGGTTGCCCAAGCCTAGGGAGGAGCCCTTGAGATCCCGAGGTCGGGATCAAACCATGGACCTCACATTCAGTGGATTGACACGCTAACCACTGAACCATTCAGAGCCATCTCGCTTACCGTGCTTTAGCCTATCTCGAATGAGTGATTTTCGGTAAACTTCGGCTCATCTATTGTCGAACTGAGACCAGGGATACTGATAGGACTGTCAACTACTGGTATCCATGTATCCGGGTGCTAATCAGCATGCCTAGATGGCATGCTTCCGAACCGGGGCACTGCAGTGGCTTAACCTGCGAGAAGTTTCGTGTCAATAAATGCATTCACCTCTACGATGTTTATTTCCTGACATGGGTTGCTTTTATCAAGCGGGTGCGTTTCATTCCCGCTGTGTTGACTGATTTGTAGCAGTTTTTCTCACTTTGGGAACCTTTTATCTAGAGAATTTTTTGTAACACAGGAGCCACTGAAAAAGAAGTTCATCGATGGACTCTAAAAAATTATTTAGAGGTGTCCAAAGGAAAGTTGGAGGTACATTTAACCTATATATTTTTGAATTCAGTCTTCAATCACCTCTTATTAACCGGTTGTTTTTAGTGTTAAAACCATTACGCCCCGTATCTTCCCTCGCAGATGGAAAATATTCAGATGTTTCTGAATGCTGCTGCAGCCTACGGTGTGCCTCGGACCAGCCTTTTCCAAACCGTCGACCTTTACGAGGCTCGAAACATGGCACAGGTCCTGAACACACTGTTGCAACTGGGAACTGAGGTAACTTGGTTGCGCCACATCCACCATGATTTTACTGCCTGTCATGTTTGACAAACGGTATTTCCATCAATCACGTGTTTCCCATTGCCCGAATCTGGGTCGAATTTAACACAAGTCACCTGATTTTACACCCACGTTAATGCCATTTGGCTCGGTCATTGTGACACAAACAAACACGGTGTGGCAAAGCCTGCCATTTTTAGTATCTTTTAATCGACTGGCGTTCAGTAGCCATTCTTTGATGTCAAAATTTGGACTACGAACCGTGACGATTGCCCAGCTTGATAGCCACCAACTGATTGGACAACTCACGCGGAACGAAGAGTGGTTACCTGAAGACACTGGGTCAGGTCCCGAGGAAGACAGTCTAATATGGCAAACCATTTTGATCTGGCATGCGGTGGACTAGCGAACAAACGTGAGTTAATGGCTGATAGACCAATATCTTGAAACACGAGATAAATTTCATCAAGATGCTCCACTTTCTGGATCGAATGAATCCTTCAAAATGGAAAAAAATCATGGAGTCACTTGTTAGGCCACTGACTGTGGCTTCTGGTTTAGCAGAGGCTCAATTCAACTCAAATGTGACTATTTCTTTTGTCAACCTGCACCCAGGAGCTCAATGTACACAGTTCTAATCAGATGACGCGCTACATGGATTTCCGCTGTATTGACAAAACAATTTCCATGGATCTGATAGATGACGATTAAACGAACCGATGAAGTGCAAAGAATGGGGTGACACTGATCAACCTTGAGAAGCGTGCCCCGGGCGGACCACACTTGTTCATAATTGTCAAGAGTTCAGTTCGGACGATTTCGCCGTCTTCACAGCTGTACAAATTGAAACCTGGAAGCTATAAAGACGATGGGTCCGGGTTCTGCGCAGCATCCTCCAGACCAAATGGTCACCCCAATCCTGAATGTCAAGATTATTCTTGCACCAAACACTGTTCGAAGCAAACGTTTTCTGATGCAAAGCTGGCTCCACTAATTAGGTCATTCAAAGCGGATGACTGAAATTCATATATCAGGACAGTTTATCTATGGCCGGGTAAGGAACGGAGGTCGAGGTCGTGGATGCCCAAAATTTCATTGCTGAGACAGCGTTTAAATAGGTTCAAAAACTATAACTTCCATTTGACATACGGAGTCTAAAGAATGGATACTCATGCAAGTGAATGAGGACTTCAAACGCTGTACTTCTTGATGCTGCAAAACACAGCCTATTTGGAATGGGTTCAGTCTCCCTAGCGGGAACTCGACTTGCACAGTATGCGGACGCACATGCCTATGTACGGTGGTCTCTGTAGGTCCCCAACACGCTCATTGGTTCCCCCAGTTGGGCTACTCCTAAGATAGTTCATTCACCAGGGAGGTTAAAAAACATTCCGCATGAACTTGCAGCATTTGTTATCTTCGGAGAGAGAACTTTGTCTGCACAGAGAGTCTCCTCCTAAGAAGTGATTTTACCTCGAAGAAATTATATGATCCCATGTTTACACCAATTACAGAGCATGAACCAAATTGCAGATTCAAATGACCTGAGTTATGACATGCAATCCAAAGTGATGATGTCTGTTAGACTGCCCAAGACCAGTCTAAAGTTTCTGCAAGATGGTCCTAATTATGGAGTGAAAAACCTGTTTTGGCTGCTGCATAAGTGCAAGGTTAACCAGGCACTGAAACCGACTGTGTTAAGCCGGGCTTTCTCCACAGTTCTGTTCGCTTACCTGTTGGATACAGACGCCCGACATTATGTCGTAGATGCTTATCCCGAAATATGTATATTACACTAGCCGACTTTAAGTGAATGAATACTTCGAGCCACTGTACAAGCCGATCGGACTTTCGCTGCATCGCTTATACAAAAGATGGTGTTTCCCCAGACGTGAGTAGAAACGCATCACAGGAAATGCAAATTCTCGAAGTATTTAACTTCGCAAGGAAAAATTACACACGTTGAGTCATTGTGAACGCTGATGTTACTATCCACGATAATGTTGTTGTTGTTGATGATGATGATGATGACGATGATGGCTGCGATGACGATACCGAAGATGATGACGATGGTTATGAATACGATTAATTCCAACTACCATAAGGACCGGTGAAGCTAAACAGTCACTTGAAGATTAGGAATGGGTTAACTCAATGCGAACCTCAATAGAGTCTCCCACCTATGATATTCACTAGCAAAATATCAACTCCATTCCGCTAGAATGGATTTTTTCTTCACGAGACTATTCAGAGGTGCTGATAGTTGACTACCAAGGCAACCATTTTCTACGCTCGCCAGGTGGGTCCAGCCCCGGTGCAAGGGAAATTCCTCTTTTGTTCACTGAGATGTTCGACTGTATTTTATTTTAGACTTTGGTTCTAAAGCTTTATTTTTTGACTCTGTGAAAAGACTAGATTGTATCCTCGTCTTTGGGAAACATCTTCGAGTGCAGTGGAATATCATGAGTGATCTTAGTCGATTGTGTAGCCAGGACGTCTTTGAAACGTTCAACATTTACGTAAAGAACCCTGATAGATGTTCATTTCAACTGAATGTCAGACTACACCCCTTGCCGTATGACCCCCAAGACTCGTTCTTAGTTTGAGTATTGACTGGTCTAATCCACAAAACTTCAGAATGTCACGTCATACATGTCGTGATATTCCAGCATACGATAGCTTCAAAGTACGCCACCGCATTTAGACTGCCTTCCTGAACCCCCTCCTTTGATGGACCGGATTTATTTATGCGGCGATTTGGTCAAATTAACCCCTTTTTTGGAGTATTCAGGAGTAACTCTAAAATTGGGTGCAATAAGCCATCCCCTACTTCAGTTCCTTTAGATAAACCAACAGAACCTCTTGAGAGGACTGAAGGAATTTAGCACCAGTGAAATGTGTGGTGGAAGGAAAGCGCAGTGAAATTCTTGAACAGTTTGCTGAAATAGTCCTTACTGAAGGCTTTCACAGTTTCCAGTATAATTCTCCATGGTTAGGTAGAGTAATATTCCCCGAGTGGGCTAATGTGACCTCTTTTTTGGCCAGGTTTACATAGTTTGTGTCACAAGGTTGCGCCTCGTAACCAGTGAACATCAGTTGGAATACTGAGGATTCGCATGTTCTACTAACAGGCAGGTTTCAGTAGTTAAAATTTTGGACGCAAAACACTGACCAGGCACATTCTCTTCGTGCACCAATGTATGCACACCCGAAAGATATGTTTGGCAACATTTTAAAAGAACGAATAAAACCGATCAAGAGAATGAACCGGGATCGTTCAGACTGAAAGTCTGTAGTGAACGGTCGAAGCCTTGGTCAAAACTGCTACGAAGTCAGTCGCTTTGGGTTAAAATGCTATTTGCTGGCCGCATGAGTGTCAGCACTTCTATAAAGCGTTTTTGGATACAAAGTTCAGTCATATAGATGTCTATTCCATTGGCTTCTACGGTGGATAGAATCCTAGGTATGGATGCATTTGGCAACCTTGACTGAACTTTGAAAACAGGTTCGAAGGCGGTTGCAGGTTTGACATGGGGTCCCATATCACCGGATGGGATAAAAGTAAACTGGTGATGGCATGCCGTTGTCACTTAAGAATATCCACCGGAATGTATTTAGACATCCGTCCGACTAGCTGTCTCTTTGTTCCACCAATATGTATTTCTTCACAGGAGCAGATAAACTAGTATACACACGGAGGTGGATCGAAGATGGAGCTTGTCCTTCAGGTGTTGTCTGTTGATATGGGGAGTGGTAAGGGCGAGCTCCCAAGTGAATATAGTAATACAAAACATCATATACATATATGCCTGAACTGGAAGAAGACCTACCAGAATATTACTGTGTTCCTTTCGTTTTCAGTCACTCTGATAGGCTTTTTAAAAAGTTTGAACGGTAAATGCAATCTTGCTGTCAAACCAGTTGTCTCAAACTGGTTGTGTTCTTCTTGCAATTTTACACTATTCGGATTTATCACACTACCAACATAGTTCAATCTGCTTCTTTTTGCGTTACTTCATTAAGTGCCAACGGAACAATTTCAACGGAGAAACCTGTGGTCCAAAGCCAACTTACGAGAATAAACGGGAGTTTACGGAGGAACAATTACGTGCATCTGAGGGAATTATTGGGCTTCAGGCTGGCACAAACAAGTTGGCTAGTCAGGCTGGAATGAGTCATGGTGGGCCACGGCATATTGCTGACATCAAAGTTGAGGCGGCCAGTAAAGAAGGTCAGTCTGTTCTTGGCCTACAAATGGGGTCCAATAAGGGGGCAAGCCAAGCCGGTATGAGTCATGGTGGGCCACGACATATTGCTGATATCAAGGTTGACCAGGCCAGCAAGGAAGGACAAGCTGTGCTTGGTCTGCAAATGGGGTCCAATAAGGGCGCAAGCCAAGCCGGCATGAGCCATGGGGGCCCCCGCCACATTGCTGATATTAAAGTTGATGCAGCCAGCAAAGAGGGTCAGAATGTAATCGGACTTCAGATGGGGAGCAATAAGTTTGCTAGCCAGGCTGGAATGAGCCATGGCGGCCAACGGCACATCGCAGACATCAAAGTTGGAGAAATGTCGAAGGAAGGCAGCGGTGTCATTGGAATGCAGATGGGTCCCACCAAAGACCAGGTTGCTTCACAATCGGGTATGAGCTTCGGTGCACAGCGTCACATCATCGATAGCCACTGAATATGTCGTTTGTGGACAAGGGTTTTGTTGCATGGAAACCGAACAAATCGACATGTCTATTTTTATTAATTCATTCTTTCAACTCTCTGCACTATTTCCCCATATCCGCAAAGGACCCTGGGAAATTCCGCAGTTCTCTAAACGGTCCTCTATTTCCCTTCAGGATCACATGTCACCGACTATTCTCTGATTTTTTCGCATGAACGTGCTTATTCAACCTATATTGCGGTGTTTTCAGTCATTTATTTATCGCTTGCCAGTCACCGATTTTCGTCTGCTGTTGAGCATTTCGAAAAATTTACTTTAATCGAAAATTTTTAATCTATACAGACGTAACGTCAGATGTGGTCGGTACATTTATCTTTCAACTTTGATGCTGGAACGAATTTCTTGATTCAGAGGGACATTGCAATTCATTCTCTCTGAATAAAAGTGTTCGAAAAACCACGAAGTCTTTTCGAAAATATTTGCTGCACTGTTCAGGAAATATGGCGTTACCGTATTCAAAATCCACAGCAGAAGAACTGGACTAGGTCTTAAGAACTTGTCGACGGGTAATGGTCCTGACTAGACGTTGACAACTTATAGTCGGAGTTCTGTGCTCCATATTTGGTTGACGGTCTAGTGGTGGAAAGCGTTTACAGTTTACCAAAACTGTATTTACCAATGTTACGAACAATCGATAATTCGGTGAGACCAAACACAAACAGCAGTTCGTTCGCAGGCCAGTTTGTTGAATGACCAGG